CTGGCTGTGGTTCAGGGGCCAGCACTCTGAGTAGCACTGATCTAAAGGTTAAGATAGATTTAGAATTTTCTCCCGGAGACTTGGAATTTTTTTCAGGGAATTGTGGAATTTTTCAGTGGATCCAGATGTCATCATCTCCCATCTTTTCCTCCACTGCTTCTTCCATCAAGGGTGCTTCTAAGTGAGGTTTTCACTGTGTGATTGTACTGCTTCGTCATGGAAGATTATTAGTGATCCAGATGACACGGTCTTCAGTTTGTAACCCTTCCTTCTATGTTTTCTTTGATTCTTCCACCATTTTTAAACCATAGCAAATGTGTTAAGGAGAAAAGACTGAATATGTGGACAGTACCTATTGACTGTGAGCAGTTGCAGCTCTCTGTCTGGAAGCACCAAAATGGAAATGGAAATGCAAATAGAAATATAATCTGCTAACGAGGGGGAAAAAAAAGAATACAGCTGTACAATGCCTTTCGGTTGCTAGTATTAGGAGTCTTCCCTTTCCATCTGGAACCACCCTTAATTCCCTATACACATTAATATTTTTGTAGGGAGGAGAACTAGGTTGTGCAATTCCTGTGTCTGCAGTTCAGAGTGGTGTAATATGGAAACAGATTTACCATCTCATCTATTGTTTGTTCAGACTACACCTTAGCTTCAGTGTCATCCAGTGCTTGTGGTGTGTGTGTGGCTCTGCAATTTGCATCAATTTGTTGCCCATCTCATGAGAAAAACATCCTAGAAACCATTGTTGCCACTTATTAGGCAACAGGGTTTGTGTGGATTTTAGGGTCAACTGTTTGTGTCAATAACAAAACTAGCCCAAGTGTCTTTAGGATACAACACAAATGGTTCCCTTCTCAGGGTGACCAGATGTCATAACCACAAAGGAGGACAAGGCACTGTAAAGTTCAAGAAAAACATAGGACATTACAAAATAAAATTCTAATACAAATGTAAATTTATTCTTCTTAGTCATACTCAAAATGAAGGACATTTTGAAATTCCTCTGGGACAGAAGTTTGAAATTTAGGGAAAGGAAGGTGTCTGGTTCCCCTGCCTTTTCTGCCCAACATTTCCCTGCAATACAAAGATGTGAAATAGTTTTGCACAGTGGTGCAACGAAACCTGTGATCATTTGTAGAGATGGCCCTGTTCTTAGATAGAGGGATGAACTGCCTCAGGGTGCAGGTGCTGGGTGAAGGCAGGGGTGACACTTCTCCAACTGTCCTCCAGAGACCATCCCCTGTCCTCCGCCTCATGGAAGACAGGAGTAACACACAGAGATTGTTCTGGATCTCTTAAACTAGTTTACTGCCTTAGTATTCCATCACCAGAGCTGCATTCAAATTCAGTTGCAAGTCCGGTTGGCTTCCATACATAGAATGGAGTGAACATGGGTTTGTGACAGTGAGAAAGAGAAGGTGATCTTGCATTTGATCCCAGGCAGCATAATGTCTGGGGCTCATGGTGTCTGTAAAATAGCCACAGTAACTTCTGATGCAAGATGACCACAGCCAGGCCATCTGCAATGCTAGCTCAGTTCAGGAAACATTGAAATAGCCAGCAAAGTAGTCATCAGGTTCCAAGCAGAGCATTATGCACAATCCTGGAAGTATAGCTACCTTTCAAGTATAGTCGAAACGTTTGGCCATTAAATGTTTGGGTTACGGATTATGGACCTTATCCCACGCTGCTCTCAAAAGTGGCAAGAAAGCGATATAAGCATCATTGCAGTACTATAGCGCTAGTATAAATATGGCGCTAGCGCTATAATAGCGCTATTGATAAGCTCGCGCTATTGCAATGCCCGCTGAAACCGACATTCAAAAGAATGCGATTGATGTTGCATTCCGAGCGGTTTCTTGGTGGATTCTGAGCGACGTCGTGTAATCACACGGAAAACTATAGCGCTATAGCGCCTGATTCTTAGTGGATTCTGAGCGACGTCGTGTAATCACACGGAACACTATAGCGCTATAGCGCCTGATTCTTAGTGGATTCTTGCTGCTTTTGGCCCCGTGGGATAAGGTCCTACGTTGCCCAGACTCTTCCAAGGCAGCAAAAGAAGGAACAGGGCCTGCTTATTTCTATATTTCACAATGCTACAGTTCTCCAAAATGTATGTGCTTCCTTTCTAACGCATGGAGGCTAAAAAAACGTCATCACTAATCTTAACAAAAATCATTGTTGCGCCCTCCTGTATCGGCAGCCTCCAGATAAACAGTTTTATTTGTGCACTTGGTGCTCAGAATTTGACGGGATTTCTCAGCCTGTTATGAGTCAATAGGCAAAGTGTCAATAGAAAGCAAGATGGCAGGAAGTTTATGTAAAGCATCAATATTTGCTCAAGAACATTCCATAGAATATGATATGCTTGCAGCCCTCCAGCTTGTTCCATCTCACACCCTTCCTGGCCATAGATAAATACTACATTGACGTCTTCTTATTTAAAAGACTTTTCCCCTCTTGTGATAAGGCTTATTTGCAGAATGCTTTTTATAATCTATAGGATTGATAGCCCTAAATGTTCATTGATTATTTAAATCAAAATACCACATTAAAAAGTAAATAGTAGAAAAAGGCCAGCATTTTTTTTTTAAAAAAACACTATGTTTTCTTTTCTCCAAATCAGTTTTGGCTGGAGTAGAAATTTACACACAGTTGTAATTCCACTTAGTTTTTTTTTCTGGGAAAGATAGGCTAATAATAATAATAATAATAATAATAATAATAATAATAATTGCAGTCCTGCCGAAGCTGTGAGCCTCTACAAATGAAAGAGAATGGGAAAATATTGTGTTAGAGACTTCTTACAATTCCTTCTGTTAGAGTCAAGATAGAAAGAGTTACTGCGATCCTACACCAGTTCATGCTCTCCTTTTACTAGCCCAGTTTTGAAACAGCAGTCACTTTGTTCACTCTACTAGGAAACAAGGGACATATCCACACTGCAAAAATAAAGCAGTTTGACACCACTTTAACTGCCATGAATCTATCCTACAGAATCTTGGGGTTTGTAGTCTGATGAGGCACCAGAGCTTTCAGACAGACCAGGCTGAATATCTCACCAAACTACAAATCCCAGGATTCCATAGGATGGAGCCATGGCAAAGTGGTGTCAAACTGCTTTTTTTCCCTGCAGTGTGGATACATCCAGGGTGAGGATGATAATTTCAGTTTTCCTGGACATTTTTAATGCATAGATAAAATACTTGTCCTCCAGAAATTTGGGATTATCATTCTCAGTAGCATCAACCAGCATAGCTAAAGCTAAAGGGCTACTGGAATTGTAATCCAAAAAAATGTGAAGAGTTTTGAACTGTCCAGATCTAGTTTAGAGACTTTCAGTACCACTGACAATGATGTATATGCCATGTCTTCTATAAAATCCTATTCTGTGGCCTCATTTTGATATAGAAATGATCCTGGGTTCTTGAACACTATGCTAGCAAAGCGTAAATTGTGCCAAATTCTACTAGGCTGGCAAGAGTTTGCATATGGCCCCAGAGGTAGGTTCTTTGCAGACTGCCAGAAATAGTGCAAATTGAGTCCAATTTTAAGGACTGGGGTTAGGGTTAGGGAATCATGGGCACTAGAGCACTAGATTATTGTGGCACAATTATTGTGGCACTAGAGCATTCTGACAGAGAAGGCTCAATGTCTCAGGGGGGAAAAAAACAATTCCCATGATTCCCTAGCACTAACCCTAACCCTAAAAGTGGACTCAATTTGCACTATTTCTGGCAGTCTGCAAAGGCCCTAACATGGCTATATCTTTGAGTGCTACCAATAGCAATTAGTCATGAGCTGACTATAGCTAAAAGCTAAGGAGATTTCTTATCTTCAGTTATGTGCAAGATTAGATCTGTTATTATGAAATTAGACAG